CTTAACTAAGAATTGTGCTTCCGTGCTCCCCTATCTAACCTTCCTTTATCCCAATCCTCCTTTTTCCCCAAGTTCCCTCCATTCTCCCCTTCTCCCTTTTCTCTCCCCATCTCCCCTTACCCCCATTCCACCCCACCCCCAAGATCTCAATTTTCTCCCCGGCAATTTTGTCTACTTCCCATAGCCAAGAGGACAACTATATGTTTTTCCTTTGGTTCACCTTCTTACTTAGCTTCTTTGGGATCACCAATTGTAGACTCCGTGACCCTTGTTTATGGCTAGAAACCAATTATGAGTGAGTACATCCCATATTCATCTTTTTGGGTTTGGGTTACCTCACTCAGGATAGTGTTTTCTATTACCATCCATTTGCATGCAAAATTTGAGAAGTCATTGTTTTTACCGCAGCGTAGTACTCTAATGTGTAGATAATCCACACTTTCTTCATCCATTCTTCCATTGAAGGGCATCTAGGTTGTTTCCAGGTTCTGGCTATTACAAATAATACTGCTATGAGCATAGTTGAACAAATGCTCTTGTCAAATGATAGGGCATCTCTTGGGTATATTCCCAGGAGTGGTATTGCTGGGTCCAGGGGTAGGTTGATCCCGAATTTCCTGAGAAACCGAAACACCGATTTCCAAAGTGGTTGCACAAGATTGCATTCCCACCAGCAATGGATGAGGGTACCCCTTCCTCCACAGCCTCTCCAGCAAAGGCTATCATTGGAGTTTTTGATTTTAGCCATTCTGACAGGTGTAAGATGATATCTCAAAGTTGTTTTGATTTGCATTTCCCTGATCGCTAAAGAGGTTGAGCATGACCTTAAGTGTCTTTTGGCCATTTGAACTTCCTCTGCTGAGAATTCTCTATTCAGTTCAGTGCCCCATTTTTTAATTGGGTTAATTAGCATTTTAAAGTCTAATTTCCTGAGTTCTCTATATATTTGGAGATCAGACCTTTGTCTGTTACGGGGTTGGTGAAGATCTTCTCCCAGTCAGTGGGTTGCCTTTTTGTCTTGGTGACAGTGTCCTTTGCTTTACAGAAGCTTCTCAGTTTTAGTAGGTCCCATTTATTCAATGTTGCCCTTAATGTCTGTGCTGTTGGGGTTACACATAGGAAGCGATCTCCTGTGCCCATCTGTTGTAGGGTACTTCCCACTTTCTCTTCTATCAGGTTCAATGTGTTCTGACTGATAGTGAGGTCTTTAATCCATTTGGACTTGAGTTTTGTGCATGGTTATAGATATGGGTCTATTTTCATTCTTCTACAGGTTGACATCCAGTTATGCCAGTACCATTTGTTGAAGATGCTTTCTTTCTTCCATTGTATACTTTTGGCTCCTTTATCAAAAATGAGGTGTTCATAGGTTTGTGGGTCAAAATTCGGGTCTTCTATACGATTCCATTGGTCGACTTCTCTGTTTTTATGCCAGTACCACACTGTTTTCATCACTGTAGCTCTGTAATAGAGTTTGAAGTCAGGGATGGTAATGCCTCCAGAAGATCCTTTATTGTATAGGATTGTTTTGGCTATCCTGGGTTTTTTGTTTTTCCATATAAAATTGATTATTGTCCTCTCAAGATCTGTGAAGAATTTTGAAGGGACCTTGATGGGGATTGCATTGAATCTATAAATTGCCTTTGGTAGAATTGCCATTTTTACTATGTTGATCCTCCCAATCCAAGAGCAAGGGAGGTCCTTCCATTTTCTGGTATACTCCTCAGTTTCTTTCTTCAATGCCTTAAAGTTCTTGTCAAATAGATCTTTCACTTCCTTGGTTAGAGTTACCCCAAGATATTTTATGCTGTTTGTGGCTATCGTGAAAGGTGAAGCTTCTCTGATTTCCCTCTCTGCTTCCATATCCTTTGTGTATAAGAGGGCGACTGATTTTTTGGAATTGATCTTGTATCCTGCCACATTACTAAAGGTGTTTATCAGCTGTAAAAGTTCTTTGGTGGAGTTTTGGGGGTCGCTTATGTACACTATCATATCATCTGCAAATAACGAAAGTTTAACTTCTTCCTTTCCAATTCGAATCCCCTTGATCCCCTTATGTTGTCTTATTGCTATTGCTAGAACTTCAAGCACTATATTGAAGAGGTATGGCGAGAGTGGACAGCCTTGTCGTGTTCCTGAGTTTAGTGGGATGGCTTTAAGTTTCTCTCCATTTAATTTGATGTTAGCTGTTGGCTTGCTGTATATAGCTTTTATTGTATTTAGGTATGACCCTTGTATCCCTAATCTCTCCAAGACTTTTATCATAAAGGGATGTTGAATTTTGTCAAATGCTTTTTCAGCATCTTGGTTGAGTCTTTGTGCGGTTTTGGTATCAGGGTAACTGTAGCTTCATAAAAGAAATTTGGCAATGCCTCTTCTGTTTCTATATTGTGAAATACATTAAGGAGTATAGGTATTAGTTCTTCTTGGAAGTTCTGGAAGAATTCCGCATTGAAGCCATCTGGTCCTGGGCTTTTTTTGGTAGGGAGGTTTTTGATAACCTCTTCTAATTCTTCGCGACTAACAGGTCTATTTAGATTGTTCACCTGGTCCTGGTTTAACTTTGGTATATGGTATTTATCTAAAAAAGTGTTCATTTCCTTTACATTTTCCAGTTTTGTGGCATATAGGCTTTTGTAGTAAGATCTAATGATTCTCTGAATTTCCTCTGTCTGTGGTTATGTCCCCCTTCTCATTTCTGATCTTATTAATTTGCAAATTCTCTCTCTGCCATTTGATTAGTTTGGATAGGAGTTTGTCAATCTTGTTGATTTTCTCCAGGAACCAGCTTTTTGTTTCATTGATTCTTTGTATTGTTTTCTGTGTTTCTATTTTGTTGATTTCAGCCCTCAGTTTGATTATTTCCAGTCTTCTACTCCTCCTAGGTGAGTCTGCTTCTTTTTTTTTCTAGAGCTTTCAGGTGGGCTGTTAAGTCTCCAACGTGTGCTTTCTCTGTTTTCTTTAAGTGGGCACTTAGATGAACATCACATCAAAGTAAAGGGTTGTGTAAAAATTTTCCAATCAAATGGACCTAAGAAACAAGCTGATGTAGCTATCCTAATATTTAACAAAATAGACTTCAAACTAAAATCAATCAAAAGAGACAAAGAAGGAAATTTCAAATTAGTCACAGGAAAACTCCATCAAGAGGAAATCTCAATACTGAACATCTATGCCCCAAATACAAGGGCACCCTCACTTCTAAAGCTTAAATCATACATTAAACCCCACACACTAATAGTGAGAGATATCAACACTCCACTCTCACCACTGGACAGGCCAGTCAAACAAAAAATTAACAGAGAAATAAGGGAACGAACTATGTTATGACTCAAATGGATTTAACAGACATCTATAGAATATTCCATTCAAATATCAAAGAATATACCTTCTTCTTAGCACTTCATGGAACCTTCTCAAAAATTGACCACATACTCCATAAAAAACAAACCTTAACAGAGACAAAAAAATTGAAATAGTCCCATGTATCTTATCAGATCACCATGGTTTAAAACTAGAAGTCAACAGCAATACTAATTCCAGAAAGACCACAAACACATGGAAATTAAACAATGCTCACCTGAATCATCAATGGGTCAAGGAAGAAATAAAGGGAAAAAAATTAAAGTCTTCCTAAAATTCAATGAAAATGACCACAAAACATACCCAAATTTACGGGACACAATGAAAGCAGTGTTAAGAGGAAAGTTCATAGCACTAAATGGCTACATAAAGAAGCTGGAAAATTTCACATTAGTGAATTAACAGAACATTTGAAAACTTTAGAACAAAAAGAACCAAACTCACCCAAGAGAACTAGACTGCAGGAAATAATCAAATTGAGAGCTGAAATCAACAAAATAGAAACAAAGAATACAAAGAATCAATGAGACAAAGAGTTGGTTCTTCGAGAAAATCAACAAAATAGACAAACCTTTATCCAAACTAACCCAAAGGCAGAGAGAGATTATCCAAATTGGCAAAATCAGAAATAAAAAGAGAGACATAACAACGGACATGGAATAAATACAGAGAATCATGAGGTCATATTTCAAAAATCTATACTCCACAAAATTGGAAAACTTAAGGAAATGGACAACCTTCTAGATTAATATCACTTACAAAAATTAAAGCAAGACCAGATAAGCAAATTAAATAGAGCTATAACTGCTAAAGAAATAGAAATAGTCCATCAAAATCTCCCAACCAAAAAAGGTCAGGACCAGATGGTTTCAGCTCAGAATCCTATAAGATTTTCAAAGAACTAACTTACTGAGCTCTTCATTTTTCTCTGCTCCCCTCCCTGCTTCTCCCCTCCCCATTTCAACCCTCCCCCAATGTCCCCATGCTCCAAATTTATTCAGGAGATCTTGTCTTTTTATACTTTCCACTTCCCATGTAGATTAGATCTATGTAAGTCTCTCTTCGTGTCCATATTGTTGTCTAAGTTCTCTGGGATTGTGGATTGTAGGCTGGCTTTCTTTGCTTTATGTTTAAAAACCACCTATGAGTGAGTACATGTGATAATTGTCTTTCTGTGTCTGGTTACCTCACTCAAAATAATGTTTTCTAGCTCCATCCATTTGCCTACAAATTTCAAGATGTCGTTATTTTTTTCTACTGTGTAGTACTCCATTGTGTAAATGTACCATGTTTTCCTTATCCATTCTTTGGTCAAGGGGCATTTAGGTTGTTTCCAGGTTCTGGCTATGACAAAAATGTTGTTATTATCATTGTTGAACACATGTCCTTGTGGTATGATTGAGCATCCTTTGGACATAACCCAAAAGTGGTATTACTGGGTCTTGAGGAAGGTTGTTTCCTAATTTTCTGAGCAATCACTACACTGACACCCAAGGAGCTGTACCAGCCTGCACTCCCACCAGCAATGCAGGAGTGTTCCCTTTACCCCACATTAGTTGTCATCAGTGTTTTTGATCTTGGCCATTCTTTTTTTTTTTTTTTTTTTTTTTTTTTTTTTTTTTTTTTTTGCTCACAAAATGTCTTTAATTACTCCCAATTTAGCTGATTTTCAGCGAGAATACATACATACGATCAAATCAGCTGCCACCTGTGGAGGAAGAGATGCTCTGGAGCACTGTACTGAGTGACCAGGCAACCAAGGACCTGTCCAAATCGCCCGGTGTCTACAGACACGCACAACAAACTCCTTGTCATCCTGACGGCATGGGCATCTAGAATCATGACAAGGATGGTATCCAGGCAAGCGTTCTCTCTCCACAGCTTTTGCTGACAGGTCCTGGACTGCAGGCAGCATGAATATAATCACTTCAGATGTGTCCCAGGTAGTCTTTCCCAGGAGACCAGGCTCAAATCTAGCTCTTCAACTTCTTTTGAAAATGAAGCAAACACCTTGTGCAGGGGCTTGGTGCGGAAGAGCATGTCATGGGATGCTCTGTGCTCTTCCCAGTGAAGGGGTGGCGCTTCTGTCCCTGGGCACGTCACAGTGACATCCGTGGGAAGAGTTGCTGTCAGGTCCTCATACAGCAGTCTGGCACTAAAGGAGGAGGTCTGGCGCCCCTGATTCACTTTATAGGTAAACGACAGCAAGTTGCACAGGGCGTTTCTCTGCAGAGGTCCAGTGAGGAAGGCGCTGAAGTCCGTCTCAAGTTGGTCTATCTGGTACTTCCTCCCCGAGTAGGCGTTTAGGTACTCGCAGAGACTAAACAGGAAGTGCTGGATGTCAGTCTGTAGGTATGCTCTGGCTATCTTTTCTAGAGGGATGAAGACTGGGATGGAGTGGTGATGAATCCGAAGCGGTTTCTCTATGATGAGGTCTACAAAGTAGGAATCCAGTAGCTTCCCCTCAAAGGCAGTGCTGATGCACATACACACTCCACGGCTGGTCAGCTTCCCGCTGAGTCCTGTAAAACGATAGGCCTGCAGAATGGCTTTCATGTTCCCCCACTGCCTTTCCAAGGCCTCTTGCTCACTGGTCTCTACTGTGCTGTTTGGGTCTTCACTGGCCAAAGATGCTTTAACTCTAGCTTGCCGCCGCCGCTTCACTTCAGCCCTCAGCTCTTCTCGCTGCTTCCGCAGTTCCTGAATCCTGGTTCTAAGAGAACTTTCCTTTGTGTGAACTGTCGGATCTTCAAACTTTTTCCTTGATCTGTTCATTTGAGCCTCTAGTCTTTCCAGGTGAGCTAGAACACCTCCTTTGCTCTCCCCGCCTTGACACAAAGTATTCGCAGACGCCATCTCTTGAGCTCAGGTGCCGGCCAGGGCAAGTTTAATACGAACCCAAACGTCCTTGACTCACCGCCACGGCCGCTCGGCTGCAGCCGGGCTTCCCCCGAGCACCGCAGGATCTGTGCAGGACGGCGAAGCCGGCTACCCGGGTCCTGCTTTCTCTCTCTCCCTTTCCCTGCCTCTGTCTCCCGAGTGCTGAGATTAAGGGCGTGCGCTACCCGGTTTGCTTTCTCTTCAGAGCGAACTCACTCCGGTTCCAGTTTAAGACTTCCCGCCGATCTTGGCCATTCTTACAGGTGTAAGATGGAATCTTAGAGTTGTTCTGATTTGCATTTTTCTAATGTCTAAAGAATGTTGAGCATTTCCTTAAGTGTCTTTCAGCCATTTTAGATTCCTCTGTTGAGAGTTCTCTGTTTAGGTTTTTACTCCAATTTTTTATTGGATTATTTATTCTTTGATGACCAATTTCTTGAGTTCTTTGTATATTTTGGAGATTAGACCTAGGTTGGTGAAGATCTTTTCCCATTCTGTAGGCTGTCATTTTGTCTTCTTGACCATGTCCTGATGGAGGTGGGTCTTGCATTTATTTGTTGCTTTTAAATACTGCCTGGCCTGTTATCTATAGCAAAATCCACTTCTTTCCCTCAGCAAACTTAATCAAATGGAAGGGACATGGTCACATATCCAAATCACAGCACAAACTGTAAAAGAATATTTGAAAATTATTTCAGTAATATATAGTTACAATGTATTTAGTTGGTTTGTTGAGATAAAATGTCTAAGTAACAAAATACAACCACTAGACATATGATTTGTGCAGTTACCACCACAATCCAGTTCTAGAACATTTCCACTACTACGAAAAAAATCCCTTATGCGAGCATTTACAGGAAATCCCCCTTCCCACCCACCCCCCAAGGCTCAAGCCACAGTCCGTTTCTTTCCCCTGCCTTGACTTTGATTTCACTCCAGAGACAGCACCTTTCTGAGGCCTCTGCCCAGTGCTGGTGGGAATGTGCAGGGTAGGTCCTGTGGGAGTAGCCCTCCAGGGGATTTCCTTCCTGTTTTTCTCTCCAGTCCTTTGAGCGTCTCCACAGTCTCCCTGCACTTAGCAAAACTCAAGGGGGCTTCTTTGTAGATCTGGTAGATACTGTTTCTGCTTGCTTTTCTTTTCTTTGATACTTTGCCTACAAATTTTAGCTGAGCCAAACCCAGTTCTAACCTCCTTAGCCCAAGAAAGTTACGGTCCCTGTTGGATTCTTTTGTCTTTTCATTTCCCTGATGTCACAGCCCTGAGTGCTTATGGTCCAAACGCTGTCTCAGATGCTTTATACATTTTCTAGCTATTTCAGACGGGAGGGTGAATCCACTCTCCGTTTTTCTATTATAACTACAAGTAGAGGTTCTGTTTTTGAGGGTGTTTCCCTGTAGGACCCTGTATCGCCACCCGTGGTTAGGTCTGTATAACGCAATTTTCAATAGTTCAGTGGTAGATTTAAAAAATTTTAAAACCAAATTTGGTAAATAAATGCATCGACGTGTATTTAAAAAAACAATGTGGTGGTAGCTCATGCCTTTAATCCCAGTGCTTGGGAAGCAGAGGCAAGTGGATCTCAGTGAGTCTGAGGCCAGCCTGATCTATTAAGCAAGTTCTAGGACAGGCAGGACTGTTGCACAGAGAAACCCTATCTCAAAAAAACAATAAATAAATAAATAAATAAAAATATAAAAAGGACCAATGAGATGACTCTGCAGATAGAAGGCTCTTGCCTCCCATCTGACAGTCTGGATTGAATCCCCAAGTCCTACATAATGGAAGGGGAGAATCAACTGTGGCAAATCGTCCTCCAGTTACCACATGAGAGCCATGGCACACTCATGCCCCACCACCACACAATAAATAAGTAAAATATAATAAAAGCATAAATGATTGACAGATCTATGAAAACCTCTACATATATGCTAAGATCTCTAATAGTTTCTATATTAACAACTCAATAATAACATCCCTTTTCAATTATATGTACATAAGTGTCATCTTGAATTTCACATAGATTGGAAAAATTGATCCAAAGGTTCATTAGTTTTAATAAACTAATTTATTAAATTAGCAGGGTGAGACTGCTGGGCATGAACACAGGCCTTGTTAATGTGAACTACAGAGCTATATCACCACTCCCAAGACAGGAATTTTGAAAATAGCCTCTTTCATTTTGAAACAACCTCTTGAACAGCATGATGAGTTTGCTCAGAGAAGAGAAAGTAGCCATGAGAGAATGATGAAAGCCCAGCCCCAGATCCTCCATGGCACACTTGAGAAACGCTCATCCAGGCTACTACTTTTTATTTGTGTCACATTTTACAACGCTATTTATGTAATAACAGAAAGATAAATGTGTTTTTTTTAATCAGGATTGATTTTTTTTTTTTTTTAGATAGGGTCATAGCTAACTTGCTATGTGTAGATCTGGTGGCCTCAAGCTCACAGAACTCCATTCTCCTGCCTCCCAAGTGCTGTAATTAAAGGAGTGCCCCCATCAAGCCCAGAACACTGATCTTAAGGTTCTTACTAACAGAAACCCCAGCTAAACCAGGGAAACAAAAAGAAAATTAAGTGGCTAACTAGAAGTCCATGTTAGATCTAATTTAGACATGACTGACGATAAAGGACAAAAGCACACTTCTATTTATCTCCCTCCCATCTAGCTCCATTTCTTTGACATCTTTTCTAGAATAGTCTCCCATTCAAGATACTGAGAGGCCCGTGTCCCTGCAGATTCAGTGAGTCAGTAGCCCTAGCTCAACCCCTGAGCAGCCTGGTTCTGGGTTCAGAGCCAGGGAACACACCCTGAAAATGGGTCCAGAGCAAAGAAAGACTTTGCTCCTGAACCAAGAGCCAGAGAAAAATCCCTAGACCATGAAACCAGGACCAAAAGAACACAGTGAGCCCCTAGATCCAGAGCATACCAAAGATATTTGCCATAGTCTAAAGATTAGAGTCAAAAAGGTAAATAAAACAAAACAAAACAACGAAAGAAGCACAGTCTGGCCCCAGAATCAAAGCCTTCTCTGTCCTGATACAAAACCAGCCAATCCCTGAGCAGGGAAGACAGACCAATCACTGAGCCACTAGAAGTTTAGACTTCCCGTCAGGCAGGCGCTGGTAGTTGGGAATTCCCCTTAGACCTTGAAATCCCCTTACTTCACAGGGGGCAGCCAATCCCAAGCCTGGAAGTCTGGAATTCCCCTCACGAGGACAGCCAATCATAAGCCAAGCCCAGAGGCTTGGCATTCCCCAAGTCTCTTCCCCTTTACAGAGATTTCCACCACTGGTGTCTCTCCTGCCCTATTCCTGTTGCTGCCGCTGCTGCTGCTGCTGCTTCTTTGGACAGATGGAGGGACCTGAGTTAACGCACAATAAAGACTTTGCTTTTGCATTGGAAACAGTCTCGTGGTGATGTTTTGGGGACCCAGACTTTTGGCGTAACAATCGTACTTACTCTCATGTTTCTACGTCATGGTTCAAAGTATCCCAAGCAGATGTCCCAAGGCTTAGTCCAGCCTAAGCCACACATCTGTTCCTGACCACTTTAGCTTACTGAGGGGAGAGTTCCTTGGGATCTTGCGATTAAGGATGTGTAATGAGCATGGAAACAGATTCCTCTGAATGAATAAAGGGAAATCTGTAGTGTAGATACAGCAGGAATTTTATAGAATAAGAATGAATGCAACTTGGTGTAGTGTAAAAGCATTTTTTCTTGTGTGTGGTGTGGACAATTACTAAGATAAAATATCAAGAGAACATTTGCCCACTTGAAGGCTGCCACAAATGGGGAGGCTGCACCCAGCAACCTTGGTAACGAAGTAATCTTGCCACACGAGAGGGACCCCCCATCCTTCTGTGGCCAGTCGATACTGATAACCTAGGACATCTGGTTATCAGAAGAATCAAATGAGAGGCAGTTTCAAACTGGCATAAAAGACACTCTGCCTTCCCGAGTACAGGCAGAACGCTTTGCCTTCTGAGACCAGGCCATAGACTATGTGGTCAAGAATTGATGTAGCACCTGATACCAGCCTAAGAGCAGGACATCGAACACCTTATCTCCCAAGCACAGACTACGGGGTCAAGAGTTGAGCCTCGTTGTCCAGCCCCCAGTGCTGTCAGGCATCCAGCCTGAAGAAATTCAAAAAGTCCTTTTTTAAGGCTGAAGGATACCAGGTCATATGATGCTGTTTAATGTGTGCACAAAATGTTAAGAGAAGAGCATAAATGTGTTAATACATATGTTTAGTATGTGGAATGTTAAGAAATATCTTATAAATAAGTGATAAGTTGTATTAAGCTTAAGAAGTGTTTTATAGGTAATGGATAAGTTGTATTAAGGTTAAGAAGTGTTTTATAAGAAAGTGATAAATTATATTAAGGTTATGAATTGGTTTTATGTATTAGGTTTAGTAGGATTAATAATTGTGATATTGAAGTGCCTGTGTGTTGTCCATCATCAATCCCCCATGCCTATTGAGATTGTAACCCTCATTGATGCATTGGATATTGAAGTTGCTAGTAAAGAATCATTATAAAAACAATTCTCTTGCTTGGTCTGGTCACTCATCACTCTCTGGGGAGAAGGGCACAGGGTCCTCATAGATATTACTCAAAAAGAACCTGGAGCTGAAGTCCCCCAGCTCATAACAGGATGAAAATCTCAGCTGCAGTTAGGAAATTTGAAGTTCTCCTAGAGGCAAATAAGAAATGTGTTCTGTGTGTAGTATATGTAGTTGTAGTCAAGTAAGTTTAAATCAAATCTACTTTCAGTTATAGCATGAGAGCCAGATGTGGTGAGTGTGCTACAAGCCTAGCTAGTTGGAAGTTGAGGCAGGAGAATCACTTCAACCTGGACTCTGAAATAAGCATGGACAACATATCCAGACCCTTTCTGAAAAACAAACAAATAGGACTACAGTTGACTGTGTTTTCTCTCCCCTTCTCCTGCCCAGCAGAGTCCCATCTCCCTAATTAGCTGAGAACTCGAGGTATATTGTGTAATAGGAAACCACACGAGGAGATGATAAAAATGGGAGCCAGAATCTTGGAAGACCTCACAGAAAAGTGAGGATTTAAGTATTTGGAGATCCATGGTCACTTCCCAGGGAAAAGGTGAACAAAGGAGAGGTTGAGGTCATGGGTGACACTGTAAAGAGGCTGAGCAAAGGTCAGAAGAGCCCTTTAGCCCCACAATAAAGCACGTGGCCATTACTGCTG